TGAAGCAATTTGTTATAAAAACGGATGGATTTGGTATAATTTCGAAAGTTTTTTTAAAAACTATTTTATTCCTCTTCCCAATATAAAAAAATACCATCATTTTCATTTTAGTAGTTTGCCTGGTGATATTGGTAAAGTGTATGCTTCAAAGGAATCTGAAGGATCAGAAATTCCTTTTATTCTATTACGGGATAGTAGTTTTGATAAAAATTGTGATATAAGTATAATTCCTATTTCACTGTTAACAAAAGAAAGAAAACAATATTTATATTCTAATATTCGTAAACATGTAGATGATCCATATAAAGATGTTCATTTTTCCAAATCCAGTGAACATTAATTATTTAAAAAAATTTTTTTCCTTAATAAAAAGAATGATAAAAATGAAAAAGATAGAAGGAGGGAGAACGAACAAAAGAAATAGAAAAAAAGGAATTCAAAAAGGAAAAAGAATAAAAAAAATGATGAGAGTAAAACAAAAAAAGGTGGAAGGGAAAAGTACGAACGAAGAAAAAAATTCATAAAAAGGAGAAACAGAAAATAAAAAAGTAGGGAAGGAGTAAGAACGAACGATAAATAGAAGAAAACAAAATTCAAAAAGAAGAAAAAAGGAAAAAAGGGAAAAAAGAAAAAAACGAAAAGGTGGGAGAGGAAAAGAACAAATAAAAATAATTCAAAATAAAAGAAAATAAAAAAGGTGGAAGAGAGAAATAAAAGGAAAAAGAACGATAAGAAAGAAATCAAAAAAGGTTGGAGAGGAAAAAACAAATAGTAATTGAGAATTTTAGCAAAGTTCTTTAATTTCGCTCGTAAGTAAAGAAAGAAAAGAAATTCAAAAAAAAACAAGATAAAAGGAATAGAAAAAAAGGAAAAAAGACGAAAGAAAAGAAGGAAAAAGAAATTCAAAAAAGAAGGTATAGAATGAAAAAGGTGTTAAAAGAGGGAGAAACGAATAAAGATTTAAACAAGGACAAAAAATAAATCAATGAAATTGAATCAGGAACCAAAAAAAAAATTTTTTAAATTGATCTATGATGGGATCATGCATGAATTTTTGGAAAATCTGTCAAAAATTTTTTTTCTCTTTTCTTTTCCTGTTTTATAATAATCGAACCATATTATTTTTGAAATCCCTTCACCAAACGTGAAAAAATATGTTCTAAATGGTAACTGAATGCTGCTCTTAGTTATAGTTTTTGCATTATTTTAGGTGGCACTTTATTATGCCGTAAAGTACGTGCTTAGTATTTAGATCCTATAGTAGCACTTTGATAAAACTCTTTTTCAAATGGTACTTCAACGACAAAACATGAAGCTTGTATTAAAAACCTTTTCTGAAACACACTCCATAGTAAAGGTCAAATTTGCAACTGATTTCATCAAAACATGAATGAATGTTGGTGAACTTCCGTTGATAAAACCTATGTTGAAGATGCAAAGGATAAAGTTGAATTTATGCGAGAAGTTTTTTAAAACAAGATCAATCTTGAACCAAATGTTCAAAAAAATATGTCAGCCCGTTTTAGAGAGATTTCGGCTCGATGTGATGAATTAGAAGTTCTCTATGAAATAGCATATGAGATAGAGAGAGTAGCATTGCAGAAGTGGAAGCTATTGTTTAAGCTGATTATAAATTTGAACATTTGTACTGGAAAGGATCAGTAAGACTGGTAAAAATTATACTCTTAATAATTTGTGAATTTATTAATGTATATGTATATATTAAACATTTCTTTCTCTTTATATCTATAGCTAAAGATTTTATCAATAAGCTATTAAA